TCCTGATGATGATCCCTGGGAACAGGGATATGCACTATGCAGTTGTGTTTACTTTGGGTGTATCACTGTGGTCTGGTTGGTTTAATTACAACTGTGACTTCCTCTCTTAAAACCATCACTCCTAAGGCATGGACAGGAGGGATAGATAATAAAACAATTTTTTGGCTGACTGTGATCAGTTAGCCTCAAGATTTATTCCTGGGAAAGGATGTCAGCAAGTGAGACTGCCACCAGAAGGAACATCCAGATACCTCCCTTGCAATCTAGCTTTATTCCTGTGACTTAGGAACTTTGCTGAACCCTGAAATTTCAGGAAAACAAACAAAAAACACCAGAGAAAAAAACAAAATATCAAACCTGAAATAATGATGGAAAAAAAAACAAAGCAGAGTTTGGATCATGATTTCCAATAAAACATAGAAAGAACACAGAAGCTCAGTTGTTCAGGCAAAAGCTAAGAAGGGAGAAATCCTTTTGGCCCTATAAGTCACACAGAAGCTGCATATGGAGTTTTATTTTATTTTAGCTTTAAGGATCTAGCTCTCTAAATGTTCTTTCCTTTTCTTTTTCTTGTGTCCCATGATGTTTGCGAACATGAGAAATGGTTGGGGAGGCTGTAAGCCAAGCACCAGTGATGTTAGATTTGTTTTCACATGGACCAAAATAGACCAAGGAAAAGAACTGAACAAACTTGCCCTTTGCAGAAGTAGGGTGGCTCCTCCTTGATGTTTAATAGTGGTGTGTATGGACATCATGTAATTCACTTGAGTTTAATGGGATGAAGAAATAAACCAGGAGCTGACGTTGGAGGGTGATCTATCAACCTGCTCCTGTCACACACCTGGCTGTACACACAGTTCTCAAGGATAAACATCTCCAAGAGGGTTTGGTCAAGTTAGCAGAGGAGAAGTTCAGCACAGACTGTTAGACACGATGTGTCCAAAGGCAGCTTTTGTTTAAGAAGACCATGAGCTGCTGCTTTCTGAGGGCTGGAAGGGCAGAAGCAGAATGCTAGAGTAGTTGGCTTTTTCTGCTTGTTTGAGCACTGGCTACTGGCTGCTAGAAAGGCAGAGCACTGGCCCAGAGGACCTCCTTTTGTGACTAAATATAGTGGCTCATATCCTCTGTATTTGGCCTCTGTAAAATTTTCTGTCTGACTTAGCAAGTTGGGTATTTTTGAGAAAGAAAGAGTATATGGGCATGTTGCCACTTGTTTAACAGGAATAAGGAAAAAAAATCCTCAGTTAATTTCATTCCAGTTTTTTCTAAGTGAATCTTTTATGTTGCTGACTCTGAATACTTTCAAATTAACTTTTTTTACTTGACTATTAGAAAAATTAATATGGAAGAAAATTGATGTCTGAAATGGATTAAATATATTGTTCATTGTTAGCTTTTTCAATGAAGCTAAAAAAGCAGTTAGCACTCTCTTGTCACCTATGTGAATAAGCAGTATTTAGGTATCATATATAATTGAGCATATTAATAGAACTTTATATGTTAATATATATTAAAGCATATTGCATATGTTAAAAATAAGTGCATTTATGTGGTTAGGTAAATCAAAATGTTAATTTTGATTGGTTTATAAATGGTTTATTCCTGTGTTAAGAGTGTTCTCACATCAGATAGAACTTCAGCCTGTACCTGCAAGGCTTTCCCTGCTGTTACACTGCAGGTCTTACAACACTTCCAATGAGTGACCTGTATTTTTGGAGGGAAGGTTTCTGTGTCTTGTCCTTAGCAGTGTGTGGATGTTACATCACCACTGAGTTGTGGAGAAGAGCTCCTTGGAAGGCTGTTTGCTGGGTGGGATCCAACCTCTCCAGTGAGTCTGTAAACCAAGAGCTGAGGGGCAGTGCAAGGGGAAGGATCATGTTGTTCCTAAACAGTTCTTGGAATGGCAGCAATTTTTAGAGCAAAATTTTTATGGAAACCTTTTGAATTTCATTCTGTTTTGGAAGAAAATGAGTCCCCAGGTCAGTCTGTGAGGTCACTCGATCACTCAGCACTTGGATGAGGAGAGTCTTCCAGAGCACATTGCAAAAAGCACTAGCAGAAAGCTGGCTACTCGTTTGTGTTTCACACCTCCTTAATTACCCACCTGTGTTCCTTTTATTATCAAAGCTTGAACAGGATTGCTCATAAAACAGAGGCCAAGAGGAAATTGCTGGTTTGCTCGGATTGCATCAGCAGCATAAAGTGGAATAATTTAATATCAGAACACTCTGCCCTTTCATTTTCATTTTCCTTTGTCCCTTCCATGCCACTGTGGATCCTGCCCACCCAACACCTACAATACACTGAGCAGCACATACCTGTTACTTTTTCTCAGTCTAGCACATAGACTTCATACAATGCCACTTCAGTCTCATGAGTGACTGAAAAACTGGTGAGAGGTCTCTTCAGCTGTATGGAGCTGCCCATGTAGCCATTGTCAGTCAAGCTGCTCTGTGAGAGAGACTTGAACAAAAGCACATCTTGGATTAGGAGGGGTGTGGAGCGTCCAGTCCACCCTGCTCAGGAGTGGCTTCATTCTGAGCAGTTTATTTCTAGAAGTGGAAGAGTTTGTAAGACCTTTAGAGTTTCTAAGCAGTGTGTATAACCTGGGTGTGTGAATACAGGCAGTCACTCCTTGCAATACCAAAGCTGATGCAGCTGTATCTCAAGTACGTAGCAATGAAATGACAACTCTGTCCCCACTGTGTATGTTCTGCTCAGTTCAGGGGATTTTTTTGGGTGCTTCTCTTCCCTCATCTGGAGGATTCACTTCATGTTGCTTTCACTCATCATTTTTCCCATTTCCTTTATTCCAACCTTTTGGTATCTTCACTGAGGGCAAACCCCTGACATTACAGAGAACTTGCTTCATGATCTGTGTTAGTTAAAAACAGATTGTGCCATGAACACCACTTTCAATGACATCCCATGAATTTGTGATTCAAGGGTGGCACACTAATGTGGATTTTCCAATGGGTAAGGTGGAATTATCCATGCAGTCCCTCTATGAATGATTTGCCAGTAACCTCTGTTCAAGAAATAGGCAAGAACTTATTTTTTTATTCTTCCACATCTCTGCTAAATTTGGTTGCACCTAAACATTATTGGGAAATACTATCATGGATTTCTTGTCGTGTTCAGAGACACAACAATGGCTCACAAGTTTGATTTCCTTTCATAACCCATCTGAAAGTAAGATCTTACATTTTTGCTGACTTGTCCTTTACCCAGGTTCCCTTCTGAAAGTGGTGCTTTGGTTGTTCCATGTTTGTTTGGAAGTGCAGGGGTGCCCCAGTCCTCTGTATTGACTGCACACTTAACCCACCTTGCCAGGCCTTTTTATCATCCTGTTTCTCTTCTTCATACCAGAATGTTTTATCCCAGGTCCTGGCATTTGCATTTCTTACAAGTAGCACAGCATACATGGTTTCTGTGTATGATGGAGACACAAAATTCTTTTTAAAAAAAAATACAAATCATGATTTACTTGCACAGAAAGTGATCAGTCTACAGCAGAAACATAAGGTTGTTGTCTGCTTTGGTTTTTGCTCCTCTTTTTCTTGCCTAGACTGCTGTATCTGGTAATGGGTCAGGGAAGGAACACAGAAATTCAGGCTATGCCTTCACTGGAAGAAAACACCATGTTCCTCCTTGGGGTTCAATGTCATGAGGCACCTGGCCTGAGGTGAAAAGAAGGAGACAAGTTTGTTGTGTGAACAAATGTGAGCAGGCCACAATAAAGGTTATGGGGAGAAGCCAACATTTCCTTCTCACCACATACTTTTATGGCCACTGCTCCATCTTCTCTGGTTTTGTCATTTTGTTTCCCAGACCATCAAACTCAAAAAGACATGAGCCACTTCCCTCAGTGAAAGAAGCCTTTCTGGCTGTGACAAAACACTCATGCAACATAAATCCTTGCAATTCTTCCCTTTGATATTACTTTTGCTTTTGGGAAAGCCAATGCTTTTCCTTCTCAGCCAACATCCTTGCAAAATTATCTGAGGTACAACCTAAGCACTGAAAATAATGATAAATAACATAAATGCCAGATTGCATCAGTCTAGGTAGCTGAAAAGGTCAGATTTTGTGATTTTTGTCTGGTTGAACAGATTCCTCACACATGGCTACTTCATTGACCATCTACTTCCTGCTGTGAACAGTTTGACTTGATGATTTTAAAGGTCTTTTCCAACTTAAATGATTCTATGATATTATGAAAGGCAGAACAAGGGGTCTGGCAAATTGTGAAGGACAAAGCTCTGGTAATGGAAGTTGGAGATTAGAATTTGACTCTGTGCAGGTTTTGGCAGGTTTGTGTCATTTTATCCATGGAGGGCAAAGGAATAAAATCACAAACATGCAGAGACATGGAAAAACTGTTTTCTCTTTCAGACACTTCCTGTGCTATTCTTCTTGTCCATTTTAACCTCCCACTTTCTCGAAAGAGAAATGATGGAAACAGATAAGAAGTGACTTCAATTAAGGCTGATTCTTTCTTCACCTTAAAGAGGAATCCAGGAAGCTCTCCACAGCCTTATTTCTCTCTTTGAAGTGTTGACTTATCATCCTCCTGCCATTAAAATATAATGGGCTAGCAGTGGGTGTGCTGGGATTTGACACCCAGTGGGAAACCACACCTAATCCTGTTTGGCTTATTTTCCCAAGACATGGACCCCATCTTCACCATTCAAAGCAGAGAAGAGGGAGGACCAGAGAATTATTGTAGAGGAAAATATAAATATAAATATAAATATAAATATAAATATAAATATAAATATAAATATAAATATAAATATAAATATAATATAAATATAATTTAAATATAAATAAATATAAATATAAATAGTACAAGCCACCCAGTTTCTGCATAGGTGTCACAGAAGATGGTTTCAAACACAACCAGATAAGCAGCTGCCTGCAGGAGGGACTGATTGCAGACCTCCATGAGGAGGAGAGAGGGACGGGATTTTATCAGATGTTTGGTGCATTTGATCACAGGGTGCCTTTATCTTCCCCACACAGTGGGTTATGGTGACTCACCAGTCATTTAGTGGAGTGGAAATAAGTTATGGGTCATGGCAACAAACAAACAAGGATGGGAGCCAGAGAGACAGAAGACATCTGCTCCAGCACCATTGGCCTTATCTCTGTCACTTGACTGCATGCAGAGCACTCTGAGTCTGGTCTGACAGCCCTGTACGAAGCAGAGGTTTGCCTGCCATGGAGCTGTGGATGCAGGATGGAAGGATATGGGGGGAAGATGGGCTTTATCCTTTCAGCAGTGGCTGTGGTTTCCTTAGGAGACAGACAGCTGTTACTGCCTCTACAAACCCATTTCGCAATGACAGTGTCTCAAATGACCTTGTCTGATTGCTTTTCCATCTGAGCCATGAACAACACCAGAGCAGGGATTCACCTTCAGTCAGTCTTCTCTCTCTTCAGCAGTGGAAATGGAAGTGAACTTGTGTTGTTGTGCCATGCACACGTGCACTCTGCATATCTCTTCTGGCACAGCAAAACAAGACATAACACAGTGCTCACAAAGGGCAGTCCATGAAGTGCTTCCTGCAGAAAAGAAGGCTGCTCTCTCTCTTACCTGTGTGGTGAGCAATGTGTTTGACAGCCCCATCTAGGGGAAAAAATCTCAAGTATTACTCAGGAGTTAATCTGCACAGGAACACATCTGCTTTGCTGCTCCTGACCTGCTGGTGCCTTGTCACATCATCCAGATGCTTGTTCTGGTGGCTGCAAAAGGCTCAGATAGGGCTGGAACTGCAGATGTTCCCTAGAGGTGTGAGAGTAAGAATGAAGAAGATATGAGGATTTTTGGCCATTTTCCCCTCTCCCTGCTTCTCCTGCTTTTGCTTAATTTTGCCAGCCTAGCCCTGAATATTTGGGAACATTTTTTCCCACTAAAATAGAATTAATTCATCTGAGTTGTAGATTGACAGCTCCAGTCATTGCAGTCACCCGTCACTACTTGTTCATAGATGGTGAAAGGAAGGATACAGGCAGGTAATTGCAAGTAATTGGCATACCTGGGCTTTTTCCAGGCCTGTTTCTTCTCGCTCCTTTTCTTTCTGTGTCCAGTCAAAACGAAGGCTGTCCTGTTCACTCAACACAGCCTCAATTTTAAGGCTATGAAAACAGCAGCAGGCAGAAGATTTCAAGAAGAGCACCATTGCCTGCACGCCTGTGTCGTGTGAGATGATCTGTAATGATTTTGGCTTCTGACAGCGGCTGTCTGCAGTTGCACACATCAAAAATAATAAAGAAATGGTACCTAAATACACAAGACTGACTGGTAAGTAATACCAACACCTCATGAAAATCAAAGTTTGGATTCTTCTTTTTTTTTTTTTTCAGGATTTTTCATTTAAAAGTCAAACTTAGAAAACCAGGAGACAAAATACAATGTGTAGTTTGGGCTGGATCATGAGACTTGGTCAAAAAGTTTTACTGAACTGAGGGAAGAAATTCCAAGTTTTATTGTCTCTGCTCAGCTCACTATCTGGAACACAACATCCCAACCTCATCTTTACCTTTTTTTTAAACCAAAACTGAGAAGCATTCAAGTCCAAGCACAGTAACTTACTCACATCAGCAGCCAGAACTGAGCTGGAAAATCAGATCCAAACACCATTTCTGTCAGGTTGACCGTTGTTATTTGTATCTCTTGGTTGTTTCAGGTAAGTGCTTTCCACATTCAACTTGTTTCTTGGTTTAGTTGAGCTTTCTCTCCAATCAATTGATCAAAGGTTTATAAATAGAAGGCTGGCTACAAGTGACCATGACATCTCCTAACAAGTTTCTACCAAGCAACCATTTATGCCAATACTTTAAAGCTTTCAGGAAATATTAATTTTTACACAAATAATGGTGTATTTCCTAATAACTTCAGCTAACATGACATGATGAATAACTGGGAACTGAAATCATCAAGGAAGTAAGTCTGTTACTGACTCAAACCAGTCATTTTTTTAGTTGAGTTTTGGTCCAGCTACAAAGAAAGTTTTGCTCTGTTGGTTGGGGGTTTTTTTGAGTCCCACATAGTCTTCAAAGTAAGAGTGTAGGTTCAGTTCTGGGTTTGAAAAGAAATAACAGTTCAAATCAGTTTTCAATTTGGGTTTGGGTTTGATTCAAAGCTGTCAAGCATATTCACAGAGTGATTAAAAGTGTTCCAACAGTTCTGGCCATGAGGAAGGTAAGACAAACCCAGAGGACATGCAGATCTGGACAAGTACTCTTGCTATTAGCTAAATTTTTCTATTACTTAAATGTTCTTACAGACCAAAGCCCCATTGTTTTAGGCAGGGCAAGAAACAGGTAGTAAGAAATTACCCTGACTTAAAAAATCTTCCTGTCTACAGATGCAAAGCTAGAGATGAGAAGAGATCAAGATGAGAAAAAAGAAGCGATATTGCCTTTCTCGGATGAGGAACCGAGGCACGGGGAGGTGAAGTGACTTGGCAAAGGCAGTGCAGGAAGGCTGGAGCAGAGCTGGGAGGTGCAGCTGAGCTCTGGGAGCCCCTCACCACAGCCACAGCCTGTCCTTCCTGCCTCCCCCTGCCTCTTGTGTGGCACCCACACAGAGCTCCGGAGAGCAAGACACAACAGTGACCCCAGCGGCTGGGGAAAGAGGGGAGAAAGAAGCCCCGTTTATTTTTCTTTCTGCTACTTTATCTCACTTCAATGGGAGCAGTTGAGAATGTCGAGGATAAATGAAAACAACTGTTGGGCATCAGTCCAAGTGGTTAACAAAGAACCCCAAACTCTTTTAAGTCCTACAACTAAAAGGTGCTGGCATTAAAAGAATAGCATTTTTCTTTGCAGAAATCATTTGTTGAACTCTCTAGTTCTGAATAGGATTTCTTGCCTTTTCCCCCTTTCCCCCCCAAAAATATCATATTCCTCCCTTATATGCTATATCAGATGTTTGCTGAGAAACCCTGCGGTGTTGTCCCCATGTGATGTCAGTGTAAGGTCCTGCTTTAGATGACATTCCTTAGAAACCCAGTATGATTATCCCCCTCTCCCTTCCAAAATCACACTCTGGAGTTGGGCCACATGCCAGGACAGGTACCTATTTTCATCCTCATCTGGACAGGAGCGGTCCTGCTTTCTGTGGCTCTGTGGTGCATCTGAAAGCACCTGTCCATCCTCAACAGGGAGGAATGCAGCACTGGAGAGGGAACGTGGGTGGCTGCACTGTGAAGTTTCTCCTGATAGCATGGTGGAAATTATTTGGAAAATTAAATAAGAAGCCAAGTGAAAAGACTGGATTTTGGAAAGGAAATTGCTGATGCAATAAAGCAGAACAGACAACCAGAATATCTTTAATAACCTAGTAAAAAGACTGACCTGTGTAACTTGGGCTGTGGAAGAGGTTTTGCCTGGAGACAGAGAGAGATTGTGTTTTCTGCAGCTCTGGGACCATGTCGGTGCCAGGGTGGGAGCATGCAGAGGAAATTTGGCCTTGAGGTTTTGATGCCTGCAGTGGGGAGATTTTTTAAATGAGCATGCAGCTGTGAATTCCCTGTCAGTTTGCATGGCAAGGCTGAAATTGTGTTTGAGACTTCAATATTGCTTGAGAACCACAGACTTTCACCTACCCTGTGCTTAGTACAGGTTGAGGGGGGAGCCCAGCTGTATTGTTAGCCTGGGCCAGACCTTGTCATTATAAAATTCTGCGCTGTAGTTGAACCTCGAGTTGAAATCTAACAAGTCAGATGCCAACAGTGGTCTTATTGCACTAAAAGAAAACAAGGAAAAAAAAAACAAACAGAATGAATGTACAGGGGGAAAGTATATTATTTTACATAGTAAAATCCACAAATATTCATCTCAAAAAATCTGAAAAGCATAAAATTGGGCTCATTGTTTGGAGGTGATACATTATGCCCTGTGAATACATTTGCTATCTCCTCCCTGCCTCCCTCTAAAGCTTCCTCTGTCTAGTTACAGCATAGTGAAAGAAACAGCTATTTTGACATTTCCAATTCCTCCTTTGTTCTGAACTTCTGTTGTGGGAACAGAAAAAAGGAAATGGAGAACCTTGGAAAGACTGTGAAGATGAGACAATTTACACTACCTTACTCATATGCAACCTTAAAACAGGGCCTGTATTACCTGTCTCTTTTGAATCCTCAGCCATCAGTAGAGACCTAAGCCCAGGGACAAACTGCCTTTATTTATGTGCACAGCTGATGTGACAATTTATGTGGTCTTTGTTCAGGTGGCTGAAGTCCATCCCATCCAGGCCATCCAGTTTCTCTAATTCTTTTGTTAGCTGTTTAATAGTGAATCCAAATGCCCCTGAAAACATTAATTCAGCCACTTTCTATGGCAGTTTTTACAGTTTCAGTTAATTATATACATTGGCTTTTTCAACCCAAAACTCTGTCCTTTTCTAAATGCACAGGAAAGTCTCACTCTGCAGATTGAAATAAGTTATCATCAGGACACATCTGCCTCTGCTGCCAGCAAAGCCCTAAGTGGGAAGGTCAAAAAAGTCCTCCAAAACCACAGGCTTGTTCCCTCCTGGGTGCCAGGCACTACTTGCATTAGAAGGATGAAGTGGTGAAAGAGCAAAAAAGCTCTAAAATGTTCATGAGGTCAGAGGTCTGGTGTGGGAATTCTCAGCGCAGGAAAGTGGTCCACATCCAGTACTCCCTAGGAGGCCCTGGGGAATCAGTAGATGCCTCCTGTCAAGCAGGCATCAATTGTCTTCTCTGCACTTCTGGAGACGTCTGTTGTGGCTGGGCTGATGCAGAGGTCTGGCAAGGTGCAAATGTGAGAAGACACTGAGGAAGGTGCAGACAGAAGCTCCTCTGGAAGCTCTGAAGAAAGCAAGATGCAGTGTCAGCTGCAAACATCGAGTCACAGGCCCCTTGAGTTTCTCAGGCTTGGGAGAATTGTGGGATTTAATGCATCTTTCTATCCTTTACCATCCATAAAGCAGCAGTGACACCAGCCAAACTTAACTCCTCATCAGCGAGTTGGGAAAATAAATCCATTTTCATCATCATTTATGAAATGCTTGGATTCCTTTGTGATAAATGACATAGAAGAGGCCACAAGGAAATGAATAATTCCAACTTCAGAAGAGAGTTTGAGTAGTGTGCTGAAAAGAGATGACCTTGGGACCACATGTTAGTTCTGTATGTTAAACTAAAATATTCAGCATCTCCATACTGAACTCTTTTCAGGCTGTTACATGAGGCAGAGATGTTACCAAAACCAAAACCAAGCAAAATCCAAATGAATAAGGACATCTTTCAGACACCAGCAATTCCATAGCTGCCAGAGTATCCTTCTAGATGTTTTCTGGGTTGGCAAATATCTGGGTTGGCAGGGAGTATTTAATGGTGGCAGAAAACTTAGAGGGTGAACAAAAACCCCACGTGAGGATTGACATAATATTGTCAGTGTAGGAAAACCCTGTAGTAGCATGTCTCTTGCTGTCTTCTTTGTGCAAACACAGAATATTTCATATGGATCTGAATGCTTCTTTCCACTCTGCTATGCAGGAGGAAGGGAAAGAAGAAGGAGAAAAATCAGCTGGCCTGATTTCAATTTCTGATTCTGCAGACCACAGTAATTCCACCACAGTGAGCAAGATCAGAATTAATCTCTAAATATTTATTTAGAACTCCTTGAGGATGACAGAAGAGAAAAAGTGGGGATGTGCTGAAGCATTGCCCCAGGCACATTCAGCAGTTATTAAAAAGAATTCACTTCCATGCAAATTGTATTTCATCAGCTAATTAAGTTGGTATTTATCCTCTGGTTTAATTAATATCTTGTATCTTCCTTCCGAAATACTTAATCGTGGAATGAAATCATCACAAAAATATTGCCCTGAAGTTAGTATCAGCATTTTGTATCTCAGCAAAACTGACATGTGTGTATGCATATATATATATATATATAAAATATATATATATGTGTGTGTATATTTTAATAGCAGTAATTATAAACTACTCTGCCAACTTACAGAGCTGCTTTACATTTCTGGCATGCTGCCAGGCTTTTTTCCCAGTGCCTGATGAATAGCAACTGTTGTGTACTCTAGATCTGTGCTCCATTTAAGCAATATCCCCAAAGAAATCGGCCTCCTTAGCCGTTAAGCACAATTTTGTTAGGCAGTGCCTGGGGCAATTGACAAAACCTATTTGTTAACTAAAAACCGTAATCAGTGGTTTGTGTATCAGCAGCATAATACTCTCAGCAAGGTTACAATATAATGGATGGAAAATCGGTTATTTCCTGAGCATCAACAACCAATTTTCCACCAGTTAGGCCAGAGATGGATATCCCAGAGGTATGTAGGAGTCAGAATTAACTAGTGCCAGCTTAAGCTTGGGAAAGATACTAGCAAGGCATATGGGAGTGGGCTTTCTAAACAAACCAGAGAACCCATGCTGGAATATATTTATTGCTGCCTGTAATTCAAGTTTAAGTTACAAATCTTGCTGGTCTATTGATGTTGGATTGAAGTGGAATGCATTTTCTGGGAGTAGGTGTAGTCCTTGTCATTTGCAATATGTCAATTCAGACTGCTTACAAACGTGTTAAACAGAAGTTATGGGCTTGTGGGAGGTGCTGCAGAAACTCTACCAAAAAAGAAAAGCTTGAAGATAATAATCCTATCCATGCTTAAAAAAAAAAGAAATCGATGAAATTTTGAGATGAGGCCTCAATTCCTTAAGCAAACCTCACTCTTGCCACAGCAGGCTACATTCAGTCTGCTCTGAGCATCACTCCCATGAGTGTCATCTTCCCATTCATCTGGAGACATTCCTCACCCAGAATCCTTGATTCAGCTCAGTTAATCCATTAATATAAATAAAAACAAACACCAGCAGGATGTAGCTTATCAGTTATTCCTGAAATGTTCTTATCTCTTCTAGAGTTTCTCACTGGGAAATAATGTGCAGACTTTCCCTGCTCCTCCTTTTCTGTCAAACCTGTGGCTGGAATGCTCCACAATTGCTAAACTGCAAACCAACAGTCATAAGCCTAATTGGAACAATTTACTCACTGCAGCACTCTTAGAGATTTTGGAGATTTTTGGAGTTTCCCTTATGAGTCAAGAGCTGGAAAGCCAGGTCCCAGAGGCAAGTGACTGCACGTGCCATCAGCCAATAGCGCACAGAGGTCGCAGGACCCAGGCTTCAAGCCCTTAAGTATTTGTGGGAAATCTCCTCTAAAGAGAATGATTGCAATTCCTTGTGACATTTTTCATTGAAAAGATGGATTAGTAGGCAGGCATGTGCTGGGACTGTAAGTTACAACTTATCTCAGAAAGTTTTAACTTTATGCCTTTGCGTGCCTAAGAAGTCATTTTTAAATGCAGCTTTAGCCTTTATGAGTCCCTCTAGATCTCTGAATAAATCTGTAGCTGCAAAAAAGCTGTCCAGGCTTTTTGATGAGGGCCTGGGAGTTCAGATGGGACAAGAGGAATCATGACTCAGTTTCTCTTCCTGAATGTGTCACCAACTCTCATCATGTCACTAAAGTTCTCCAGGCTCCAGTTTTCCATGTAAAGCAGGTATAGAAAGATCTGGAATATTTTAATGTTTTGTTAATTGTTGGAGAAAGGCTTGGCTAAATGGCATCACCAGGAAGTGTTTCAGATCAGCGCTGAGTTATGGAACGCTGGTGTCTACAACTTTGTCTCCCTAGGCTTGTTACTGAAAATGACACAATGAAGGGCTCAGAGTCCTGGTGGGATTGTTGTGAGGTCTGATGAAAGGAAACTCAGGAGTTCCCACCACCTAATCCACCCACATCCGTGCCTTGACCCTCTACTTCCTCCCCTTCAGAGCTCAGTCCATGGTGTCCTCTGCTCAGTAGATCCTACACCTTTAATGCTGACTAAACAGTTAAGAAATCTGTGCTTCTGTGTCCATTAGTCCCGTTTTCAGTCAATATAATCAGGTTTGCTGTAATTTCCACATTTTGGGATTCATATTTATTTCACAGAAACAGTCAGAACAGTGAGAGATTCATTTTCTTGCCTAGGACAGATGGGAACTATCTAAACATTTTTATCTGCCAAACTTAGTCAAAAAAATGAGAATAAGTCCAAAAATAAGACTTCTTAGAACTTTTCCTGAGGAGACATATTGACAGATGACCAGTAAAAGCGCATGACCTCCCAGCCCTGAAACAATAGAGTTCTTTAGACATTTTAAAGGCCTTCTTGATTTGTTCAGGAGTCTTTCCAGATTTGTCTCAGTTCTTGTATTTTCTGATCTGCTTTGCCCTATCAGTGCCCTCATTAAGCAGTGGAGGCAGATGCTGCTGGGAATTTTAGAAGGAGCTTAGGATGAGGCAGACATTGATTGTTTTGCCCTTCCTTTTTCAAGCACTGAAATGACATTCAGATTCCAGGGACGAGCAGATATGGACACTCAACCATGTGATTAGAAAGGCCGAAGCAGAATCTGCATGTGTATAGAGAATATATCTGCAGACTGGGCTGTGATTTACTGCAAGGCTTAAAAATGCTTTAAAGACTTCTAAGCACAGGAAGAAATATGCTGTTAGTAAAGCTTCCGTGTTATCAGCCCAGCTAAATAATGATGTGCAATGTGTCATGTGCAAAGAATATATTAATGCTTGGATAAATATTTTCCTAATGTCTACTTGGTTGATATCTCCTTGGCGTATAACCAGGGGATAGTAAATAACACTCATGACTCTGTTTACTTAAGGTCTGTTTTCTCTCTTGTCTTTTACACTGGTAATAATTTTGGGGGCTTCAAGGGAGGAAAAGGCAGAGGAAACCAGAGCCTTGTAAAATGTTTGTTTTCCTTACAAATTTCACAAGAAATAAACTGTTTATGCTTTAGTGCTTCACTGCCATGTAAATGTTAGATGATTTTGTGTGACTGTCAAAGTGTTTAATGTGTAGCCAAGCAGTAGCATTATAGAGAGTGGGAGGGGAGGAAAAGGAGAAACAGGAGGAACACAATGAAAAAAAAAAGAGTCCATTTTACCTCTTAGTTTCTAGCATGTTATTTTCCCTTGCTTGTGGGCATGACTTAATGCTGGTTGCTTCCCTTGGCTGTAAACTGCATTCATTTTAATCATCTGTTTTGACAGCTTCTTCCCCCCTCAGGCTTATCTCTAATTGAATTTGTCATGCAATCTCACCTCCCCTGAAATTGTTTGTATGGGAGGGAACCTGGGAGGCAGCTGGACCCAGGTTGGTTTCTGTAGTGTTACCTGCAGAAATCAGCCTGTTTCAGTCCTGCCTTTGGAGCTGGGAGATCTGGCATTGCCTGCCATCCCACAGATGTGGCAGTCATACTTTCAGGTCTAATCTGATGCCTTCACACAGGGCTCAGTGAACTTCCAGTTCAGATCCCTACCAACTCCTGCCCTTCTCTGCCATCTTCCATATCATGGAATAGACATGCTCATAAAGAACTATTCACTATGAGATTAAACTTCTCCCTGCAACCCCAAAAATGCAGCTCCACAGCTAAATTCTGTCCTTTCTGATGTCCTTGTACATTGAAGGGTGTTGGTGGATTGAGCAGAGTGGATTTAGAGTCTCCCAAGCAAAGATGCAGCCCTGAAAAACTGAAATTTTCAGGGATACAGGCATCACATAATTTGACATGTGATGTTTAGTGAGGCTGTGATTTGTCCTAGTGGTTGAGAAGCACCTTAAGAAGAACACTTCTTCATTTTTCTCTCTCCAAATGTGTTCAGGACTATCAGTCTCAAATACTGTGTTTTTATTCTTAACAAAGGAAAATAACACTTAAAAAAAACCAACCCTAAGGCAAGTTTCCCATGTGGGTACACATTTACTGTAGAAAAGAACTGGCTACCTTTTGCTCTCTGATCCCACAATAACAAAATGAAATCCTTCTCATACCCAAAAGAATGATTTTTTTACCATTTCTGCTATTGAATTAATCTGATTCATTCCTCGCTGCGAGCCCAAGATGACAGAGTTAGGCCTGGCAGGGGACACACACATTAACATAAGACCACTCATCTTGTCCCTTAGCATAAGTGGAGCCGTCATGTTGTCTACATCTCCTCAAAAGTGCTGTGTCAACATGTCCCTGCCACAAAAGTGCTCATGGTGTCCAGATAACACACGTCACGTGTTTGACACACCAGCCTGTTATCTCAGCTGGCCAAACACTGAGGATAAACAGTGTCATGGAAGAGCACACGTGCTTTAGACAAGGTTTGTGATCAACTCATGTTTACAACCTTTATATCTGACTGCAGCATAAACAAAAATATGATGGACTTATATGGTCTACATCTGAAAGATAACCTGGAGGACGAGTTGCTTTATAAAATCACAAGGGTTACACTTTGGAAGTCAAAGCATTTCCCAGCAGAATCTACAAGATTTCCTATCTCTCCCTACCGGGGTCCTAAGTGCAAGAGAGATACCTGTTAGTATTTTAACTAAATGCTAGTTAAGTGTTTGTTTTGCTTTCTAAAGACATACACTTTCTAAAGACATACACTTTTAAAGTGTGTGTCTAAAACTCATCAAAGCCTATTTATTATACTTTTCTTTTTCTTTTTTTTTTTAATCAGGCTCTTTACTTTGACCAGCAAACTTCTTCCTCCCCTCTTTGGCCTCTCCTCAGAAACAACTCATTTTTTTCCTTGTTTATTTTGCGTATTTTTCCAGTGTGTATTGTCAGAAAAGAAAGGAAATACTTTGAACCCTCCTAAAAGCTTTTGCTTCATTGATGAATCACAGAATTCAGTGGTGGGCTAAAGAGGTTACTATTCCTATGCAGTGCAATCTGGAGTAGATGAAAAAAAATCAAACTTCTTATGGCAATGCCATTATAAAGTGAATAAATATTTCCAGATTCCAATTTGAGACATTTTCTTTCTTTCTTATATGCAGATGATCCATGGGTCTTGTAAATAAAGGATATAATGTCAGGGAGATGGAGGTAGGAAATGAAGATTAGTTTCCTTTTCTTCTATCTTCACCTCCCAGGGAGAAGTTAATTTTGGCTGTGTTCAGTCTGAGTTCACAGAAAGGAGAACACAAAAAGCGTACTTCTTCTGTAAGTCCATTGCCAAATTAAATGGAAAGAAGAAGCAAAAATAATAATATAAAGATCATATTCGGATCGGGGGAAAAAGCTAATATCCTCTCCAGATTTCAGCTCTCACCCCTTTGGCATCTGTATTTGCCAGTTCATTAGGAAACATCTCAGTATTTTGGTCTAATTTAAGTGGACAGATGCTGGTTTTCCACAAAACGAAGCGGTATGAGAAAAGCCTGTCAGATTTAGTTTGGCATTTTCTTTTGTTACATTTTATGTTTATGGGCCACTTTTTTCCTTCCCACAAGTAAACTCTCTAAGACAGACATGAGTCCCTAGGCAGCAAGGAAACAGAAATCCTGCTCGTAGGCATATGCCCTGCTCTGCAGGGTCAGAAAGCTTTGCCAGTGTCCAGGTTTGGCAGATCCATGTTATGTTACATATATCTTTTATATGCTGGCAGCAGTCCTTTCCATTTAGGATAAACTGAGTGCTGAATAGGCATAAATATTTGGGCTTAACTGAGATACAGCACGGGAAGGCGAGGCCAGATGATATTATATGTGCACTGTGGTGCAAAACATCTGAAGCCTGAGAGGTCCTGTAGTTGTACCTGGCAGGAAGTGCAGCAGAAATCCAGCCAACCCCCTCTAAAGGCCCAGCCTCATTCCCCACATCTTCCTGGCCCACTTGCAGGAAACTCCGGGTGAGGTTTATGGACTCAGTTTTGCTGCAGGTCAACCAAAAGGCTTGTAAGTCTCTCATGGGTTTGAAATCCAGCAGAGCAGGACTGGATCTGGTTCCCATGACTCTGCTTATTGGCTGTTCTGAAAATTAAGTCCAGAGTATCCAGAGCAGAGTAAGCAATCAACGTATCTGAGCTGGTGTCTAGCCTGGATAAATATTCACTCAGCCCTGCCAGCTCCAGAACCTGGATACCCCTGAATCCAGGTGGAAACCAAACAGGATTTCCTCATGCAGAGGGGCACAATGAGCACCAGTCTGAATCCCACATCACTGCTGTATCTAATTACCCCCAAAGTCACGCCCCATCTATCTATTCCTTGTCACTTTGATTCAATCTCCCCACTAACACAGCCCCTGTGCTGGAGCATTCCCTGCTGGAATCGCTGGTCTGCATTAGCTGGCTGTGGAGCGTAACAGCCCAGCCTAAAGCCCATCAAAATCAACCTGTGGATTCCCAGGGGCTCTCAAAAATGTGCAGACATCATCTGGCAACTCACAGCCCTAAAAGGCTGCCTTGGAAATCAGCAAAACCAGGCATTTCTTGCTGGGACAGAGGTGAGGTGGTGCTCTGGTGCCAGTGAGGAACAGCGTATTCCAGGCAGTGTGGGCAGGAGCAGAGCTCTGTCCAGCACATGGGGTGTCATTCCAGCAGTTCTGTGTCTGTGTGTGTGCCCAGAACTGACATACAGAGCCAAAGTAAAGGCAGAGCACATGCTGTGGGGTGTGATGAGGTGATTCAGAGCAAATAAAGCTTAATTAGTGCACAGTGACCCTCAACAGTAATTTCCTGAATGATGAAATATCCACCACTAGTGATCAAAACATACCACTTAATCATATAGCATTTTTCTTGGAAATATGCATTTAATTTGAGCTTTCATGTTTTCTTCAGGAAAAGGGTAAAAGGGTAAAACACCTCTCACTGATCTGATGCTAAAGTCCCCTTTCTGCTCTTAGTTCTTATGGCCAGCACTGCTTTTTTCTCTCTCTGATTTGCAGGCTTGGCCCTAAGTTTTCCAGTGTTCAGGGCAGAGAAAAGGACTCAGCTCTGGCTCATTTATAAGGACTGTTTGAGCCTCAGGAGAGTGTGCTCTGTTCTTCAGGGCATTCATGGTCTGAGGGACCATGTGGGACTCCTCTAACCTGGGACTCTGTCCTGACACTGTGCTCTCTGCTATCTCTAATTAGATGTGACCTCGAGGGCTTTTTGCAGCTGGGGAATTTGCACTCCTCTCAGGAGACAGATGTTTTCTCAGGTACATAGGAGCTCAGACTGCACTGAAAGGATTCTCCCAGAATGGTGCTGTCTCTTCTGCTCTGATTTAGTGAGATATAAGAACAGTATGTCCTGTATGGACAGGACTTCTCTGTGTCCAGTGTTGATATTGCCCCATGTATTCAGACGTTGTAAGGAGTAGGATGGAGTAACAGATTAGGAAAGACAAGCTGTATGGAATCATTAAAACTCCAGCTGCAAAATAATGTTAATTGCATGGTCCCTTACCGCCGTAAGAATTGGGGTTTCTATTAGCAAATTAAATCCACTCCCAGATGAGATACACCACAGATGATATTCTGCCACAGGTCTGCTCTCTCTCTCTTGAAAGCTTTTTGAATATTGCTCTTTTCATTTCCCTTGCTGACAGAGCCTCACACGACAAGGGCTGCACTTGCAGAAGACTCTGCAAGAGCCTGCTGACAGGTGATTAACAGCTCCTGGATGCTGGCAGCCTGACCACACATCTGACCACCGGAGCAGTTAAACAAATTATCAGCAGAGCATTTTGTGGCTAACTCACCCTTTTCTCTAAACAAGCCATTCCCTGGCCTGGCACCCCTGCACGCTTGTGTGCCGAGAGATACTGTTTCTCATGTCTAACAGATTCCTTAAAAAAGCAACAACAAAGGCAAAACTGCAAGGCAGAAAGAAATCTGGACTCCCAGTAAAATGAATAGCAAAATCTGAATAAAGGAGTGCATTTTAGTAAACGAGTCATTTGGAGCCAGGTGAGGGAGCTGGAAATGTTTTTATCCCATTTATTTCAGGGCAGTTTTAGCCAGAGTTTTCTATCAGACTCAATACTCTTTCCATCCCAACCAGTGGCTGAGAGAGTGGGGTAAGTCCCTGGCACTTTGAAGGGCTAAGAACTCAGAATCCAAGAAACTAACTGGGATCCTAAACATGGGCAGCAATTGTGCAAATGCTTTCACTTGCTGCTTGTCCAAAGCCTTCATTGGAAATGATCCATGGCGTGAAGAGAAAGGGAGATCACAGTTTCAGACTGGATGGAGAAAAGTGAGCACAGTGAGATGTTGACTGTATGGGAAAAGGAAGGAGGGATCCATTTAACCCCCTCAAGAGTCACTATGGGTTTTGTAGGGTGGTGAGACAGAGAGCCTCGCAGTAAGTCTGAAGCAGGATTTGATCACACCCAAGTCACTGCTCTGACAGGTAAAAGACACAGATGGAGCCAGGCAGTAGCATACATAGACCTACAGCAGTATGGAGA